GCCCGGAAATGTCCTGAGCCCCAAAAAATATCTAAATATCTGAATGAGGTGTTTTCATACGCCTCATTCAGATGTTGGGCTCAGGACATTTCCGGGCAATTGTGCGGCTCCGTCTGAAGTGAAATTGGCAAAGTGGCCGGAAGTGCCACCCTCGTCTGCACCGACCCGCAATTCGAAAATGCTCCAGTCATCTGAGATCGACCAATATGTACGAAACTTATCTGGGAAGGTACATACAACGATTCGAGCGTAGCATTTGAGTCCTGTACTTTCCCACCCACCTTCAAATGATCCTATTTCCCGAATGGAAGTTGAACACGTGGCGCATCAATAGTTCGATCGACATCTTCCACTTCTCAACTCGCTATTTCCTGTTTTCCTTCACAAACAACACAGGATGATGGCTGAAATTTAATCTGTGGTAATATTACCCCAAAAGGCAAGTTTTGTGCAATTGTACGTGAGTCGAGTTTTGACAACACAAATCCTTCGGCGCCCATCATTTTTAAACATCATCTCATTCAGTTTAGTCAGCAATGTTTGTTTTAGCTTCTCATGTCTCTGTTACCTTCGTTTAAAGGGCTTCAGATCCAAGCTTGTAGCAGCACTTGACGCTATATCGTGTTTTTTCCATGATTTATACCTTTTATTCAGATGGTGCTCGAAAATGGATTACAAGATGGTCTTGAAAATGGATTACCAAATGGTTACGTCCATGAACCCGACGAAGCCCCCATGAAATACATTTTAGTTACCTGGTGGAGTAATCAGTGGAGTTGGGAAAGGCATTATATCATCAAGTATTGGCGTGCTTCTGAAAACCAATGGATACAAGGTAGGGATTTGATGTGTACATTGTTTTCAATGTGTAGCTGGATACTGTGCAGGAAGTAACTCAAGTTTTGTTGTGCTATGACTAGAATGTATTCGTTTTCAGGTATCAGCTATTAAAATCGATCCTTACTTGAATATTGACGCCGGCACTTTCTCGCCTTACGAGCATGGTATTTTTGATTTTTTTGAAGATGAAATGATTGTGGGAGGAAAGTATCGCGGCGCTAAGCACCTATAGCTTTCAAATTCGCGACAAATATTTCCAATAGTTTTTCTAATACATCCTCGATCCCCATATTGCACAAGCAGGATGGTTTGCAGAACCTCACGCTTCCTTTCCTTACGGAAAAATCGGTTTACTGCTGTTGAGACCAACTACTACGCCGCGATGCCTCCTTTCCCCTAGTTCACTGGCACAGCTTTTTAATGTGTTCAAAGTGGTTTATTTTAGGGGAAGTCTTCGTGCTCGATGACGGTGGCGAGGTTGATCTCGACTTGGGGAACTACGAACGGTTTCTGAACGTTCGATTAACTAGGGACAACAACATAACAACTGGAAAAATGTTTCAACATGTAAGTTTTACTTCTCTTTTTCACTAAATGCCAAGTGAATGGTCACCGGATATTCTGCGAGCATATCGTTATCTTCGTAAGAAATCGGTCTAGTTTGCACCGCAGCTACAGAACTCTCACGGCTTCTCATCCAGTTTTTAGGCTATGTACAGATTTGGCGACTTAGGCGAAGGTTCGGTTGAGCGTAAAGAAAGGGCAAAGGATGCATCCATCAGGGCACAGTCATAGTCGGTGTCCGATCGTAACGATCGCACAGCATTGGATGCGTATCGATCGTCCAGTCCTCGGACACGCCTGGCGATCGATACGCCGATCGTCACGATCAGACGACCGCCTATGAATGCATTCTTTGGTGAATAACCTAAAAATCTCAGAGGCAGGATCAGCTGTGAGCCTGCACAGGTCAAACAGGGTCGTGGGTCTGTTGGTCAATGGAGAGGGAGAGTCGCAAGATAAAGCGCATTTTGAATAAATGCAGCTCATATGAAGCTAGGTCGTTCCGTAGGCGTATGCCTCCCCATAATTATGCGACGAGGGTCGAAACGGCAGTATTTTTTTAAGGCATAGCAAAAAGTAATAAAATTCCAACCAGCAAGCTAAACGATGTAGAACTGAAACCTCCCCGAGTTCTTGTTAAGATGTTATGGAATTTCCTTGAATGGTGCAGGTTGATTTTGTTAGTAAAGAGTTAAATGAAGGGCTTTAATTGCGATTTGAACTGCTCATCCACATGTTATGCTCTTTCCTCTGGAAAATATTTGCTGCTGTGATGGCACTGCTTTGTTTGCAAAGGGCAATATGCTGTAAGCGAATGAGTTGTATTCAACCTTTTAGGTCACAGAACGTGAGCGTCGCGGTGATTACTGTGGT